TTAGGGACTTTGTGCAGCTCTCTGTCTCCCAAACCCAGCGATCAATTCCTAAGGTCAAGTTGTAGCTGCTTCTTACACAGGCCAGGGCAGCCCATTCCCATCCCTAAGGAAATATGACCCTCTTGGCAGGGAAGACGTTGCTCTGACAGAGGAGCCCAGTCACCCTGGGGATCTAGCCCGCAAGCTCTTCCTTCACAAGCCAGAGGCTGGAAGAGCACTCTTTCCCTCCTAACATAACCTAATTGCTGCATCCCCACGAGCCTGGGCATTCAGCATTCGCTTTGTGCCAAGCCCTGGCTCCCACCCAGCCCCTCCTTGAGGTGGAGCCAATCCCCAGACTCCCTTTTCCCAGGAACTGGTCCAGAAAGGCCTTAGCAGTCAGCAAGGAAGAGTCCTATACCACGGCCTGGGGGGCCCGGTGGCCCAAACTCCAGCTGCCTGGGTGGGCGGCCAGCACGCTGCCTCTGTAGAGACCTGCCCCCACTAGCAAAAAAAAAAAAAAAAAAGAAAGGGAAAGGACAGGTTAGTGTGGCACTGAGATGCTAATCAGGGTGAGGTGTGAGAACGGCTTGCTCTGGCAAACCTCCTCCTTCTCTGGGGCTGGGAGGCATTCTGAGTGCCACATGCCTTATTCTTCTACTCAACCAAAGATTAAGCTGTTGGGATCCTGGATCCACACACACTCTCAACACCTGGGAATCTGCATGCTGCAGGTGCAGCTGGGACTGGGACGGTGTGGGCAGGTCCAGGTCACTTCTCTGCAAGGAAGCTTTGCAAGCTTTCTCCACTATTCCCCTCCTTGGGAGCAGCAGTGCCTGGCATGTCTGGCGATGGCCTCTCTTGTACCTTTGAGATTTCTTGTTAGGATTGTCAGGACAGGTTTGTCAGTCCTTTGATTTATATGTGGTAGCTCTGCCTAGCCCGTTTTCATGTGGGACCTGCCCCTTCCGCAGCAGGCCTCTGTGTCCCTCAGACACAGGCTTACCCTTCAACCTGTGAGGCCCACAAGCGAGTCACCATCAAGGGCAGGGTGACAAACATTCTCTACCAGCCTATACTTCCATATGTAGTAGCAACATTTCTCAAAATTAAGAACTCAGAGATGCGCAACTAGGCCTGCAGACCCCTAGGGGATGCCCAGGCCTTGGTAGAGAAACATATTAAGTTAAATAATTTCCTCTCATTTGAGTGGATCAATCAGCGTGAATGACATTGTAAACACAAAGAGTAACTCAAATCCTGAAGCCAGATGGCACCAACTGGTTATAAGATAATCATTTCCACATGATTCAAAAGCTACTGATGTTGATCTTGATTTTTTTTTTTTTTTTTTAAAGTTAGGATGAAACAAAACTCTTAAAACTCCTTTTAGAACTCATGGACTCTTGGAGCACCTTCCAGCTCACCCACCACAGGATTCCTAGGTGCCATTTTGAGGAGCGATTATAGAAAAGTCTTTTCTCTAACAAGCAAGGCAACCTTCTACAGAAAGAGCAGGCGGTGGGCGTGGCCTGGTTGAAGCCCCTAGAGCAGGGTCGGACTAAATAAGGGAAACCTACTGACCACAGAGTTCTGGGTTGGGCGAGCCTTGCAACCCTCTCCTTCCCGCTATCTGACTCATGACTCTTGTCAATGTCCCAGCCCATTACCGGACATTGCAGTGTCCTGCTAAGGCAGTGCCTTGGCAGCCAGTTGGCTGCTCTAGAATTTTTACTGACTGGTTTTGCTCTTGACATCTGGGACCATATAATAATAATAGTAATAATAATCCCAAAGTCATTGGGATGGAGGACATGGAAGCCTGATTTGAGTTTTCTTCTTTTATATAAATGAATACAAGAAGTTCATTGGAGCAGCCAATGAGTGTACCGATTTGCTTCTGAGAAATGTACAGATGGGGGAGATGGGAGTTTGGAGAGCAGCACAGATGGAGAAGTCTTTTCATTTTCATTTGTCACTGAGCAGAGACCTGGAGTTGCTGAGGGTGTCAAGACTCACAGATGCAAACCCGGAGGAAGAGTGACACAGACGTATGGCAGGCACAGCCGGCAGGGAATGTGTTCCTGCGGGGTTGATTCACGGAGGGCACCTAGTCAGGGTGGGGTGGGGACTTCAGCATGCATCCCTCGTGTCCTTCCGTGGGGACAGCGCCACGTGCTCAGGGATGCTCAGACTCGGTGATGTTTCCAGATGACAGACAAGCTGCTCTGCCGCCCTCTCTCCCCCCTTAAAGAATGAGTCCTTTCTCTGCCTTGGAATTGCTCAGCCAGGCAATCCTGGTTTGTGTGGGGCTTGGTCAACTGAGTGATTTTGTACTGTTACTTGTTTTGAAATCAGTTTTATTTCAGGTGCCACTTACATGTAGACACGCTAACCTTGCTTTTGTGGGTTCTCGTTGTTGAAAAATTTGCACAGGATTCTGAGCAAAATGCACATCCACAGAGTCCTGTTTTTGAAAGACTCTGCTAGCCTGTATCATCCCCCCCCCCCCCCCCCCAAGCCAAAACAGCTTTTCAGGGCAACTAAGTGATATAGTTAAAATTCTTGGAATAAAGCAATAATTAGATCCTTTCTTTGGTCACTGCATTATTATGTAAAGTATTTGAAATTTGTAACCATTTCACTTGGCTGAGGAAACTTGACAGTCACTTGAATTTATATGCCAATGGCATGTTGAAATGTATACATAAGGTTGGGGTAGAGCAGTGGTCGGCAAACTCATTAGTCAACAGAGCGGCAAACCGAGGTTCGCGAGCTGTATGTGGCTTGTGAGCAGTGGTTTGCCCACCACTGGGTTAGAGGAATGGTGGCTCTCCGCACCTGGCTAGCCCAGCTCCCTCGGGCTGCTGTCGATAAGCTTGAGATACACCCAGCTGGCCTGCAGTAGAGAGAGCTGCCTGGTGCTGCAGTGGGGAGGCCTGAGGCCCTAGATGTCTTTCTTGGTCTACACTCTGCTGTTGCCCCTGCTGAGACCTGCTGCTGCAAGTGCTGCTCCATCTCTGAGCAGAGCAGGGAGAACCCAGTTCCCGCAGAGACTCATGGGCTGTCAGAACCTGCTCGCCCCTCCTTTGCCGCCATTGCTGTGTGCCTGTGGAGCAGGGAGTACCTGCAATCAATCCTCTTTGGCTGGGGATCCCGTGTTCTGTCCTGCTGTGTCTCAGATGGACAGATGACAGCTCCATCCATTCTTTTTTGGGTCTCAGTCCTCCGGATAGGTCCACCTGCTTAGTGAAAAAAGAACCAGCCCTCAAACTAACACGCAGCCCTTAATCGGATGAGTACACCAAGGCAGGCACTGAGGGCTCTGCCTGTGAAAGTTCGTGTGGCTACTGCTGGGCTGCTTGCTGCCGACTGGGTGGGTGAGAAGTCTGCCTGTAATTACCACCAGCTTTGCCCCAATGACCAGCGACTCCAGCCAGATGTGCACAAAGTATCATTGTTAGTCCTTTTGTCTACGAGGAGGCACTAGGCCATGCCGGTCAAATATGGAGAACAGGGGCTGACTTAACTATTCCCTATTCCTCCCTGGACATCCTTCCGATAAACTAATTTTGAGTGCTGGTAGCTGAAGAGCTGAATGGTTTGCACTGATATTGATTGACATGGGAGCCAGTGGAGGCTAAAAAGACACTGTAGGTTTGTTTCACATGTTCCCACAAACCATCTTGATATTCCTGCTAGAGAGAGACCATGGAGTAGGATGTACCATGTGTTCTATAAGAGAAGCATAGTGGGATAGGAGATGATGTGGAAAGAGCACATCTTTTTTGTAAAAGAAAAAAAACACACACCCATTTTTATTGATTTTTAGAGAGACAGAAAGAGGAAGAAACATTGATTGGCTGCCTCTTGCAGGCCTTCTACTGGGGATTGAGCCCAACTCTGGGCATGTATCCTGACTGGGAATTGAACCAGTGACCTTTTGGTGCACAGGGTGACACTCAACCAACTGAGCCACACCAGCCAGGGCAAGAGCACGTCTCTTAATGTGGTGTCCTTTAGACAACAGTATAAGACAATACAGTGTCCTGATGTTTATCAATACTCTGATGAAAAGATAGCCGAAGCCAGTGTGAAAGCGAGGCTGTGAAACATTCAGAAGAGGCAGTCACCATGTCTGTGAGTTGGCTCCCCCTGGACCAGGGACACATACCCCACATGGTTTCCCCTGGGCTACTTCCCCACAGGGTCTAAGTGCAGAGGCCTTCCTCCTCATTTTCTTCCTTTAATCCCATTATCCTTAACTCTGTATCTAACCCCAAGGGATTTTACTTTTTATCCTCACCTGAGGATGTTTATTGATTTTAGAGAGAGAGGAAGAGTAAAAGAGAGAGAAACATCGAAGTGAAAGAGAAACATTGATCAGTTGCCTCCAGTACGGCCCCAACCGGGGATCCAACCTGCAACCTTTTGGTGCATGGGACGGCGTTCCAACCGACTGAGCAAGCCGGCCAGCGCAGGGATTTTATTTTTGAATCACAATTCCAAAACCTCTTGTTGGAAGGGTAGTTTCAATTTATTAACAAACTAGAGAAAACAGCACACAATGACTACGAGAGGCCAAGAAAGATGGGTGGGGGTTCACTTTGCCTGACTCTCCTGTGCAGCCGAATAAACCCTCCTGGGCCTCACGGACTGTGCCCCTTCGAGGAGGGAAGGGGGTCCTGCAGGGAGCACAGTTCTCCGCTTCTGTGTGACTGTGATGGGTGGGACTCTACCCGCCCACTGGAGGATCATAGACCTGCACATCTAAGATCCAGAAAACAGAGCTCTTTTCCCAATTTGCAATTACACTTTTTCACACCTTTAGATTCATTTTCAATTTGTTTGAAATAGCACATCTAGAGACCGATTGCAAACCCAGCCCACCAGAGACTATTGTTCTGTTCTTTGCTGCGTTAATAGTCTAGATCCAAGTGGCTCCCTCTCACACTCTGAAGGGAAGAAGACCCTACATTAGCGTCTTCAAAGTTGTGAACATACATTGTTTCATTTGATCCTCACAGCAGCCCAGGCAGGCAGGCTGGCAGGATCCAGAGGATGGAGTTGTAACCGGTAGAGCTGGGAACCAAACCATGTCCTCTGCCTTCCGGGCCAGGGCTCCTTCCACTCCACAGGTGCACTGAGCTCTCCTTGATGAGCAGGGCAGCCTTTCTGCTTAGCATAGAACAGTGGTCGGCAAACTGCAGCTCCAGCTGCATGCGGCCCTTTGGCCCCTTGAGTGTGGCTCTTCCACAAAACACCACGTGCGGGCGCGCACGTACAGTGCGATTGGAACTTTGTGGCCCATGCGCCCAAGTTGGTTTTCGGCTCTCAAGAGAAATTTCAATCATTGTCCTGCTGATATTTGGCTCTGTTGACTAATGAGTTTGCCGACCACTGGCATAGAAGACATGTCCTTTGGGCTCGCAAACAAAGGTGATTTAGAGTATAGACCTCGTCAGCAAGCTCAGGGGACAAACACACCTGAGCTCAATTCGGCATCCACATCAGAGGGATGGAAAGCACAGAACATGGGCGTCTTCGATGAGGGTTTCTTCCCATTTTCTTGACTCTCACCCAGACCACACCGGGGGCTGTACCCGGAATGCAGCAAAGTCCAGGAGGAGGGAAGATATTCAGAGGACTTTCTCATCCAGCAATTTATTGATTCCTTCACACATCCTCTTGAGACTGGGTCTACAGTTTCCATCCGGACTATAAAGGGCGGAGAGGAACTCCACATCAGCAAAGTGGTTGAAGACGTGGTTGATGCGCCCGTGGGTCCTGGGGGTCAGGTGTCGCTGCACCAGTTCGTGCACCAGGTCCTTGCACTCGTGCAGGAGCTTGGAGAGCACGTTCCTGTCGAAGGTGTATTCCACCTCATAGAAGCTGACGATGGTCATGGCCGTCTGGTTCAGCTTCTTCCTGAACTTCTCCACGATAGCCACCTCCTCCTGGTTGAACTGGTTGTTCCGGTAGAGGATCCCGATTTTGATGGCCACCTTGATCAAGTCTTTCATGATCTTGTGGGCTTCCTTCTTGTTGTGGGTGTGCTCCTTGGTGACTTTGTAGAGCTCATCAAAGATCTCACTGCTGGTGTCATCGATCAGCATGTTGGCCACGGTCTTGCTGGCTATTTTGCTCAGAATCTTCTTCTGGGCTTGAAGGGCAAAACTCTTTGAACTAAAAACATCGGGACCTACGATAAGAAAAGAAATGAAAGTTAGGGAAATATGAGAACCATTTATTATTTTCCTACAAGTGACGCACGCTAATTTGAACGTATGTTCTTACAGCAAAAATTCATGCTTTTTTAGAGTCCACAATCCCTAACTAAACCTCATCCATGCCTGGGAGCCACATTGTCCGGTCCACATGACAAGCTTGTTTACTCTTTGAACCTTCTCAATTGTGCTCTTCCCTCTCTGGAAGGGGGGAGGGTCTCCTCATGTTTAGACCAATTCTCACCTTTTTACACCCACTTCACGCATACAGCCTCCCAGACTCTGTTTGATCACAGAGGACTCCCTGTTGTGGTTGTTGCACTGGAAACTATTCAGTTTTGCAAATTATACAGGAGGAAATTATAGCTTAATGACAAGAATGTAGTTGTTTGTTTTTTTTTCTTAATCCTCACCCGAGGATATGTTTTTACTGATTTTAGAGAAAGAGGAAGGGAGAGAGAGAAACATCAATGTGAGAGAAAACCATCCATTGGTTGCCTCCCATAAGTGCCCCACCTGAGATTCGAACCTGAAACCTAGATGTATGCCCTGACCGGGAATCAAACCCAAAACCTTTTGGTGTACGGGATGATGGGCTAACTGTGCCACCTGGTCAGGGCAGGAATGTATTATAGTCTTTTTTTGGCTGAATCTCAGAATTCATATTTCATAGAGTCTAAGATGTATTTTTCCAGTTTGGTATCTTAGAAATCAAGATGCATTTACAGTCACTGTTGCAGGTGGCAGTTGGGCTGTGGTTGTCATTACTTGTGTGCATATCACCTTACACAACAGGAGCCAGAAATTTGGGAGAAAAGCCAAGAGTACTTTTATAAGAAATATTGTCTCGCCAGTGCACAGAAAGCCGCACTGTGTGGGAAGTAAGACATCGACAACACCAAGTCAAAGGTGCTTTAACCGGTACTACGCTTACTGTGAAGAAGCTCAGAAAAACAAAGCCCACTTAGTTTCCACTTTGTGAATGAGAGAAATACATGTTAAAAATAATGCATCTAAGTAGGTCTAAAAAGGCACGAATAAAAATTTTAACTGAAAAAGCAATCACAATTTAATTGGCAGCACCTTTATCTTTCTCAAGAACAGCATCTTGCAATCCATGGTGCCTTAGATCTGATGAAATCCCCTGTGAAGCCACCAATTAGCTGGAGCTGACATTTGAAACGAAGCCCCCTGGCCAGCCCTACTCGTCATTACTATCTTCCCAAGCAGACTCAAGTTGCCTGAAGACAGAGACAAGAGTTTCGAGTTGCCACAGCACCTACACCCATGTGCCCGTGGGTCCTGGGGGTCAGTTCTGGTTACAGCGATGAGATGGTGTCTGTTAAGTACCAGAGAAATATTGCAGAAGAATAAGAAAGTTGTAAAATACGGTGTGAACTTATACTGGAAACACAAACCCCAACAGTTTTCCTTTGAGAACCGAGGGCCCTCTAGGTCCCTACAGCTTTTGCCCAGTGCTCTGTGGCCACCCTGAAGTGACAGATGTGATATGCAGTGGACAGCCAGCTTCTGCAGTCCCTGTCTGGCCCGTCCCCATCTCATACTCCACCCCCTCTGCCCAGCCCGGACTCATTCCCTCAGTGATTAATCCCTGGACACTCAGGTCTTGCAGACACAGACTCAATAAACACTCAGACCCAATGTAGACACAGGCCCCGGTGCTTCCTCCATGACTGGCCGGGCCTCACTCCCTCAGCCCAGGGTCCTTCCAGGAAAGCTAATCCAGCTCGCAGGCTCTTCCAGCTGCAGGTCTCAGGGGACTCCACCCAGAACGGAAGCGGTTCTCTTCCACGGCCTCTCACCGCCCAGGAAGCTCTCTCCATGAAGTTTGAGACACAGCAATTGCAAGCAATTTCACAGCCAAGTAGCCCTGACGTGGCCAAGATGTCCCTTCAGCCTTGGTAACTCTTCCATCCTATGAGAAAGCTGACTTCCTGATTTGAGCCCTTTCAGAGTTTGAGACAAATAATAATCCCTGCCCTGTCTGATGATCCACCACAGTCACCAGACCTTTGTGTGAATAACCTTTGTTCCAAAAACATCAAATCGGTCCTCCAAAGACAAATATTTACAAGCCTGTAGGCTATGCAAAAGATGGTGCTGTGTGCTCGGAAGTCAATTCCACAGGAGAAGCTGAAAGACTGTTACTGAAATAAGAATATGCCTCCTCAGGTGATTGTTCTGACGGGAACAATGAAGTGATATGAGGATAGATTCGTTCTGGAATATCAAAAAACAATCTTTTTTCTGTAGGAACAGTTCCTAAAAACTGCCTGAGAATGAAGTGCTCTTAGAGGCTCTCAAAAATGCGGCAAACGTGCATTTACACAGAAGCACGAATCAACTGAATGTGTGTTCACCAGAGTGTAGGCTCTGTGGGAGCAGGGACTGGTGTCTAAGCGCTCCTGTCTGTCTGTCCGTCCAGAGCCCAGCGTGTTGGCGGCACGCGGCAGCCAGTGGCTGGACAAGGGGAGCGCTGGCTCTGTGTCAGGCAATGCCCGGTGTTAACCCTGTGAGCTGGGTGAAGCTGGCATTTCTACCAGAGCCTCCCTGCCAGCCTGATTCCCAGCCCCCTCTGCTCACCAGCAGCCTTCCCAGCCTTGTTCTCCAGAGCACTGCCCCACACACGTTTTGCTCAGCCATTCCCATAAGAATTTGAAAAACTACGAACCTCCTTGCATTATTATTTTAACTTGACAGCAAGTATTTTCACCTTATGGTTAAATAGTTATATTTCTAATAGATATAACTTGTATATTGTTTAATATTGCCATCTAAAAATTAGCCTTTTATTTTATTTTTTAAAATATATTTTTATTGATTTCAGAGAGGAAGGGAGAGGGAGAGATAGAAACATTAATGATGAGAGAGAATCATTGATTGGCTGCCCCCCTCTCCCCCCCAGGCCCAAATGGGGATGGAGCCTACAACCCGGGCATGTGTCCTGACTGGGATAAACCTTGACCTCCTGATTTAGAGGTCAAAGCTCAACCAATGAGCCGCACCAGTCGGGCTAAAAATTAACCTCTGAAATAATTCCTTTAAATGTGTCGTTGTAACAAACATATCACAGTGATAAAACACCCATTACTGTCCATTTAAAAATGCCGGTGAGTGCCATTTGGGGGCCAACGTTCTTTTTATCCCTTGGTTTCTCTGCAATCATTGAGCATTTACTATTTGTTCAACCCTGCATGACGTTGAACCCCCAAATACTTAATTGGGTTCCACTCTGAATATGGTCCCACAGGAGGGTGAGATACAGACAAATTAAGCAAAATAGAGAAACATGTGAAATAGCCCAAAGTGGCATGAGTGACAACAGCTCTGAGGGTAGGTGAGGATGGCTACACAGGAGGTGGTTTCTAAAGGCACAGAAACAGGCCAGCAATTTCCCCCAAATTACAAAGGCCCTTATCGGTTTGCAGCATCTCTCTCGCATAAACATGTGTTTTTCACCTACAAAGGGGACTTGAGTACAAGTTCCTTGGTGAGGGCCCAGGAGGGTCCCAGGTATAGCGTCTCAGAAGCCCTAATGATCAATAGTCACCATCCAAACCACAAGGAAAGATTTAAGAAGAAAACCACAGACAGCAACTAATAAGCAGATTCCCGCCAAAACCGATTTGGCTCAGTGGATAGAGCATCAGCCTGTGGACTGAGGTGTCCCAGGTTCGATTCTGGTCAAGGGCATGTACATTGGTTGCGGGCACATCTCCAGTGGGAGGTGTGCAGGAGGCAGCTGATGGATGTCTCTCTCTCATCGATGTTTCTAACTCTCTATCCCTCTCCTTCCTCTCTGTAAAAAAATCAATAAAATATATATTAAAAAAAAAAAAAAAAAAAGGCAGATCTCCACACTCTGCCCCAGACCGCCAGGGTTAGCATCCTTAGGAGCAGGGCCAGTAACCCAGGCTCTGGGTGATTCTGACGTGCTGGATGCAGGGCCCACCCATCATGACACGCCTCAGCGAGGATCCTTCGGAATAGGTCTTATTAGATCTTCCTGGAAGGTTCTGTGGACACATCAGTGACTTTGTAGATGACTCTATATTGTGACTGGCTTTTGGCGATTCGTCACACCAGGCAGCTTGGGAAAGGCCTCG